TGAATTTAAAAATATCAGTAATATAGGGCAAGGTGGATTTGCAACAGTATGTTGCGGATTGGACAAATCAAAACCGAAATGTTTGCATACCTGTTGCACTTAAATTGATTCATGAATCAAAAGAACATTATGAAGAATTTGCAAAAGAGGTAATTTATGTGCTGACGTGTTTAAATTCAATAATGTATTAGTATTTATTATTTATACTAAAGCTAAAGGCATATTGTGATCTTGGCAATAAAAATTCAACATTTTTAAGATGTTATGGTTTATCAAGACATGAGATTTTTGGAGATTATGTTTTTGCTATTGAATATGCAAATAGCCTCTTCGCGTGAAAACCTCCCCTTTGTAGCACAAATGAAATGGAAAGATAAATTGAAATTATTGCACACAGAAACTTATTCTCCGAGACTTACATAGTAGCAATATTTTACAAGAAAACACAAGTAGTGCATATATCACAGATTTAGGATTTTCGATATCAACGAAAGTAGAATCAGATGAAATTTGTGGAGTTTTACCACATATAGCGCCTGAAGCTTTGATCGAAAAATCATATACCTCAGCATCAGACATTTACTCATTTTGTATAATCATGTGGGAAATTTTATATGGAATATCAATACCTGCAAAAGCAAATAATACTTGACGAATTAAGACCGTCGCTTCTTGAAGATGCAGAAACGTGTTTAGTTTAATGAAACAATGTTAGGAAAAAGTGCCGGAAAGACGTCCATCCGCAACTAAAATTGTAGAAATAGTTACGGAATGGCAAAGCGACGAACAAATATAAGTCCGATGAAAGATTCAAACAAATCATGAACGAAGAGATTATTGCTTCTGATGAAATTCAGCCAAATATAAGTGATTTAGTGGATGAATATAATGACGCATTGACATCTGGTGAAAAGTTATTAATTCTATTCAGGTCTAAAGAGATAATGTAGATAGTTGTACTTTATAAGAGATTAATGTAACTGATGATTAGAACCACTATTTTCATAAATCACAAGTAATGCAACTCACGAAGAAAATTGGTCGGTCCATAATAAAAATTTTCTTATACGTTTATTATGTGTTTATTATTAGCTTTCTTTTATACATTTATTATGTGTTTATTATTGGCTTTCTTTTATACATTTATTATGTGTTTATTATTAGCTTACTCTTATATATTTATTAGTAACTTTCTGATATATAAGACTAGATTTTAATTTTTTCTTGAATCGAGAATTATATCGAATATCGACTTGATGAAATTAGTGATTCTGGCCGATCAAAATTTTTCGGCTATGACTAAGCCGATAAATTTACCAGCTTAGCCGGCTTAGCTGATTTTAAAATTACACCATTTAATTCGAACTTTACTGAAAATTTTTTGACCTCAACCTTGCTCATATTCAATCCTAGTAATAAAATCGACTGGCTAAGCCGATAATTTGCTTTTAGCCGATTTTTTCACTATCGGTCAAGATCACTAATCTACATATATATTTAGCTTTTTATACAATTGGCTTAATATAGATTTATTATTTTGATGTAAATTATTTAAAAAATGTATAGGGTACGTTTTACGATTCCTGATTTTTAAATTAACTGATGTCATTTAAAAATTTCCGATTGAAATGTCTCAATTTTGTTCCCTCAAGTTCTCAATTTTTGGCTTGAAAAGCTATATCAAGGCAATAATAGAATATATGTAAAATTAAATTTTACCTGTTTTTATTGAAGAGCTAAAAAGTTGTTTTATCGCGCTTTTCAAATGACTGTGTCCACTGATTTTCATACATCACACTGGGAATTAAAAATCTAGAAAAAATGCCAATACGTGATTGGCTAAAACTTATTTTTAACCAATCACAGATTTGCATATCAGTGGACACAGTAATTTGCGATAATAAAATATTGACATTTTTTTTAATCTCAAATTTGTCCCAACTGCCCGTGTACAATATTGGTGTATAGTATAAATTTACCTTAAAACAATGTTATAGGGTTACGTAGATATTAAAATGCTTATGGTTGTACACAGACAAACTAATAAATTATACTTTCTAGGGTGAGAATTTTGGTAATTCTAAAATACACCTATGGTGTTCAACATCATATATATATATTTATTATATTTATTATTGCAATTTTATATTAGGCCATACAAAGTTAATTTTTTGTTTCTCATAACATAAAATTTGAAAAATGACCTGGCAACCCGCTTTTAATTTTATTTTTCCAAAAATTATATATATAAAATGCATATAGAACTTTTTATAGACTTCTGAAAAAACTTCACCCGGATAGTAAATATAGTCAAAAATTTTTTTAAAAATTTTGCGAAATTTAACCCGGCCTGGTTATGAGAACCAATTTATTAAGTTTGTAAGGCCTTAGCAATAATAAATATAATAAAATTATAATTAGAATAATTAGACTATACAGTTTTCCTCCTCTATAAATCACAACTCCTATATAATCACAAAAAATTGACACGATTTTTTTTTATTTATAAAACCCCTATACATAATCACAATTCGCTTATAATCGTTATCACATTTGATATCATATGAAAAGACATTTATTATATATGTTGTAAGTGGGAATGGAACTATAATAGGGTTCAGAATCCACTTAGATTAGAATGGAATAATTATACTAAAAATCCCAACCCTAACCTTAAAAATTCCGAATTAACTTAAATTCTATTCCCACTATAAGAATTTGTAACTGTTCAAATTGATTAACTAGTAAATACAACAATTAAGTACAGTATTTTCAATTTTTCTCTATACTGATTTAATCGTATGATATCCTTTGTTAAACTATTGACCCGTTTATTTATCTCATTAATTTTTTTTACTTATTTAATTTTGCTAGTAAGTATCTGATTATTTATTGATCAAAGTATGTGAATAAGCTATTGTTTTTATTTTTATTTGCGTTTAGCCGTAAGTATCATGATTATTTATTAACTAATATCCGATATAATCTATTAAAACTCTCATCATTTTTACTTATATATGTAAATCGATTTAAACAGAAGTGTACTGATTGTTTATTAGAAATAAACTAATTAGTCAGTACGCGTAATAATCATTCATTTATTGAAGTATTTAAAATATCAACACAGATTCTTATTTATGCTAATCTGTTATGAATAACGATCATTTATTAACTAAATTGTTTAATTTCATCTTTTCTTACCTATGTTAGAGATTGTGCCTGTATAAGATTCACCTGGATGATCCGTATAATATCTGTTAGCTGTTGCTACCAGGTGACTCAGTTTAATTTTCTGCAAACATATTGTAAATAAGTATAATCATAAATATCAGGGAGATGTTAGCCGTTAACAAGACAGCGAGTTTAGAAAACTATTATATTAGATTTGCTAATAATCTGACTTTAAGATACTAGTTCATACTGGATAATAATACTGTAATTGCCAATCATTACAGTTGTTTCATAAATTCTTTGCCATCTAAAAAATTAACAGATAATTATTCTGCAGAATTCAATAAGTATTATTCGGTATGGTCAGTGCTGTAATATATATTGTGTAACACCGAAATTAATAACTTATCAAATTCAGCAGAATAATTATCAGTCAATCTTTTTTTAGGTGTCCCGGAATTTATGAAACAGTTGTAATAAAGTGTTACCTAGTAATATTAGTATTACATCTATTATCATAAATTCTAGGATTCAATAAGTTTTTGATTTCAGCATATATTCAATAAATTGATATATAATTTAAGATCAGGTAATAATAAAGCATCTTTGATGGAAAATAATTTAGAAGACTTATCAGTCCAAAAATTGCTAAACACTTAAAGTGTTAGCAGATTTTCTATAAGTCGGATTCTCAAGCACTTTTAACGATATGGATGTATTGAAAAACTTCACTTTTAGGAAAACCACGTTTTTTCGAATCTCAAATTAGTTACATCTTTAAGCCATTAGATAATTTCTTGATCAGATTTAACTTTGTTAATTTTTAATGCAACTATTCGTGTAATATGCTTATTAAACAATTTAATTTATATTCAGTGTCTTTGTTATATTCCTTATCAAGATTTATTGGATGACAAGAACCACACTGAGCATGTTGGACAAGTATTTAATTGAAAATTTTAGTAATATTAAGTGAGTGTGTCAGCATTGTAATGATAAAATTATCCGTAAAACAAGTATTACATGCAATACAAAACAGTCATATAGCGCAAACCTCATAGAAAGATCTTCACATGATTGGCTGTTTAAATCAATATTTTTTATGCAGTTTAAGTACTTTTTAAAAACCAAACTACAAAGAATAAATTTAAAAAAAGTATATAAAAAGTTTTATTAGGGTCATAAGATTTCACTATTCAAAATAATCAAAATCCCTTTTTGTTTTAGAGAAGTTAGCATAATAACGACTTCTGAAAAATAGATAGAATTAGGTCATTATTCTAACTTTTCTAAACTAAAAGGGGATTTTAATTATTTTTAATAGTGGAGTCCTACGACCATAATAAAGCTTTCTATATACATTTTTTAAAAAAATTTATTCTTTATAGTTTGGTTTTTTTTTAAAAAAGTATTTTAAACCGTATATAAAAATATAAAATTAAATTGGTTTAAACAGCCAATTATATAAAAGTCTTTTTATGACGCAAAACCTATTGTAAAATGTGTTTATGTAAGACAATTTCTGTCTTGAAATTTCATCAGTCAGAAAATTTACGTAACTTAGACACATTTCATTGGACATTATATCTGAACCTCCTATTAACGTTAAAAAGAATATTGTCGACAAAAAAGCTGATTATGAACTTATCGAATTGGCTAAAAAATCATTCTGCAAATTTTCTATCAGATGTTCCAAAATTTATGATAATAGCTATAATATATATAAATTGTCACCATCGCTATCCGGTTCGGAGAAACCATCTTAGCATCGCCCAAAAATCAGATAATCACGATAAATCAAATTTCGATTAGCCCATGGCATACAAAAAATGTTATTTCATTTTTGTCAAAGGATAAAGTCAATTAAGACTGCACCATTTATCAATCCTTTTTCAGGAAATAAGACAAATAATGTAGGTCCTATTCAACGATTTACATTCCTAAAAGCAAGTCTGTTGGTTTATTCAACAAAAGCAAATGAGGAAAAGAAAGAAAATGTAGAAGAAAAAGATGAATCCAAGGTGTCAGAGACAGAGATATACGGCGTCGAAATTGATAATCAGCTGGAGGTTTGTGTTCTTTCTATACATACTCAAGTTCCATTCCTGCTTCGATATGTATGTAATACTACACTCAAATAAATCCACCATCACTAACTAAAAATTACAGAGAAATACTTCTCTGTACCAAACCCCCACTTTAATAAACACCGAACTTATTTACGTATTCGTTGATAATTCTAATGCTTTTATTGAAGGAAAATATGCAATTGCTGAACTTGAGAATTTGGGCACATTTGATAACAAAAGGCATTCTCTATGTTTTAACCAGTTTCGTATCGATCATGGTAAACTTCTTGCAACGATCCAAGGTGATCGTAAGTTGGGTGATGCACCAGTAATTGTTGGGTCACGCCCGTCACCTAATGATTCACTTTGGAGGAGTGTTCGGGAACAGGGATACAACGTAATGGTATACGATCGAAACATTGAAAATCGTGATGTAGCATTAGCACATACTATTGATAAAGTAATTTTCACTAAAAGTCCCGGTATATTGGCGTTAGTCTCTGGAAATAGTGACTATGACCCAATAGTAACAACTGCCCTCAAATGTAATTGGATAGTTGAAACATGGTTCTGGAATATGGGTACGAAATTGTCGTGTTTAAAGTAAGTCACACAAGTTGTCCGACTGATGAATTTGGATTATCCTTCATATGTCCGGTGAACTTAAGGACAAGACAATTTTCACACCTCTAGACTATCACTATAAGTCCTTTTCGTGTGGTTTTGGTCCTGACTTCGGAAGGAACAATCGGGTTCTTGAAGTTATTGGTCATGCACTTCGGAATTAGGGGAACAAAGAAATGATCGATATATTCGCTCTTTAACGTATTCGGTTGGTGGAACCGGATAAATGATGGGACATTTTACTTATATTTTAATAAAAAGACGCAATTGCAATTAGTAAAGAGTTGGATAAAAAATAGTCCACATGAATTACAAACTAAGGAAAAAAGTTTTTTTACTTCGTAAGGCATTATATACTTTGGGGCTGCTAAGATTATATGATATAGAATAGATTAACTTTAATTGTTGTGGAAAAACATGATAAGGTTGTGGTAAGTCGCCGGTTAGGAAATGAAAAATAAATCGGAGGGTAATTTTTAGTATAGTCAGAACATACTTCTTTTTCACACTTCACAAGTTTTTTATGTGTAGAAGTTTTTCTTTTTTCCTTCATATACACCTTTTATTTGTAAACATTCAAATTTTATAAACTACTTATGAATTTGAAGAAATATTTTTTTTTACATGATAGAGTCGTATTATTTTTTTCCAAGAGCGGAGTGAATCAAAGGATTTAGTTGTTGTTTCACAATAATAAAATTCCTTTTTACTAATCACACAATCGCGTTAAAATAAAAAATTGAGAGCCTAACCCAGCCGACCCCTTCTTTATATAAATAAAAAAATACAAATAAACTTTTTTATTTAATTCACCCTCATTATATCTTTCTTGATCACTACAACTACCACTAGAATCATCTCCGGTAATACTACAGAATCCAGACACTCAAATCCCGACATTTAAAATTCTGACAATAAAATCCCAAAACACAAATTACTGTGATTGTCAGATGATTGTCCATCACACGGAAATCTGTAAAATTCCCTTAAATTTATCTTTTTTAAAAAAAAATTCCTATTCAAAAAGCCAGAATTCCAAAGATTCCTTGTCAAATTCTGGTTCTCTGGTGGTTTATCCATTAGTGCACTATATCTTGTGATGCTCAGATCAGAAAACACTAAAATTTTGTAATTTTTTTACCTAAATTTTCTCAAACTTCAAGTGAGTTTATTTTGGTTGTTTTCGATATTCGAAGCTATTTTCAAATTCTACAGACTAGTAGGATTCGAAAATAATCTTCTACATTGAAAT